TCTCCCCTCTGTCTCAGTGATGGTGACAATGTACAGGGAGGGATGGGCAGGACAATGGTTGGACACCCAGTCCTACCCCTCAGCTCAGGCTCAGCTCAGAGGAGGGAACAGGGTGGATCAGCCATGGCTCAGCTCCAGGCTATGCTGCTCCTGCTGTGGGGCTGGGCGGTCCCTTCTCTCCTCTGAGTGTCGGGTTCCTGTCTGCTCCTCCCTGGTCCCATCCTGCTCACAGGCTGCTGGGAGATGAGGTGACAGAAGGGCCTCACAGAGCTCAGGAGGGCATGGCCTCCAGCCCAGCCTGACCTTCCCAAGAGGGCTTCAGGGCCCGCCAGGTTGAGATGGAACCCAGAGAGACTCAGAGTCCACACCACACCCTGCCCCTCCTTATCCCTGCTGTGCTGGGGCCAGGGAATGAGGAAGGACCTCAGCTCCAGATGAGACGTGGACAGACCCCTGCAGGGGAGGAGCCCAGAGCAGGAAGCTGGTGTCCCCCTGGGGGGCAGGCTGAGGACAGCACAGGGAACTCACAGTCTTGGATTCCAGTCCCGGCCCTGCCCCATCCAGGCTGGGTGATCTGGGGCACGTGATCAATCTCTCTGAGCCTCAGTGTGTGGGTGGTGGGGTCATTCATCCCTGGCGCATGAGGTGAGAGGACAGTAGTGACAGACCCCAGCAGGAGACTCACACACAGTAGGTGCTCATTAAATGGCATCCTTGGCTCATTCATGAAGTTATGAGGGGGAGATAGGATGCCAGGTCTTTCAGGTCTCATTCCTTCCCAGGAGTCATCCTCAAACTCTCCAGTTTGGCTGAGCCAGGGCCTATCGTCACCAAGGGGAACCCCGTGACCATCTGGTGTGAGGGGTCTCTTTGTTTCAATTTGTCTTGTTTCATTATGGTTTCTTAGGAATGCTCTTTTTCTGACGGACACAGATATCCCCACATTACCTTTTCTCTATGACTTACAACCACATGACACACATTACAAAGGCTTCTTGGTAGCAACCATTTCGCTGTTAACCCAACAGAATAATGTTCATCGCCCACCTGCATTTTCTGCATTGTGGGAGCTGGGATTTAGAATTATTGCATGCATCTTTGTGATGAGGAGAGGTCCATAATTTATGTCAAAATGGGGTAACAGACGGACATAATTTCCT